GGGGGGGCCGCCGCCGGGCTGTTGCCTGCCACTGGGACCCTGGCAATCCCACTCGGTGGAAAAAGGTCACAAAGTATCCCTGTGTGTACTTAACGCTGATCCATACGGCCCAGTGTTTGTGCTGCCCCGGGCACCTGGCTGGAACTTGAGTTTCATTTCCCAGTGAAAGGAGCAGACAGTGGGGAGAAGGTGCTGATGGGCGGGTGGTCCAGTGCTGGGCATGAGGCGCCAGCTGCAGCCATGGGCATTGGGAGCCACTTTACTTGCAGCTTCTCTCACCCTGTGCTGGCTGCCTGCTCCACAGGGTGCTTATCTCCCAGAGCTTTTTGGGGATGGGTGGCTGCTGTAAGCAAGGAGAGTGGGAGTGTCACACATTTAGGGCGATTGCAGCCTGAGGAGCATGCGGGCTGCTCAGCAAGTGCTGTCGGCATGCAAGGGATGTGTGCCAGAGACCTGCACTGTGTGTCTGGCCGCACATCCCTGCCAAGGGTGTAGTGCAGATGCTGGGAGTAAAGGAGGAAGGGCCACATCCCAGTGAGTCAGACCAGCCTACCAAATCCTCCGCTGGAGGAATGCTTTGTCTCCCTGCCATCGCCTACGCACCAGGCTCAAGAGATGTGCCAACAGTCAAGTTTGGGCTGAGGGATCTCTAGGCTGCCAAATCAGTGAGGAGTTGCTGGGAGACAGTGGGCAAGCTCTGGGATGTTCCTGGGGGCCCTGTGGTGGGAATCACAGAGGACTTGTGCAATGAGCCTGTTTCCCACCATGGACTGGCTGGATTCATCACCCACCAGCATGGCAGGGTCTTGGTGCTGATGGGTTGGCCTGGAGCAGGCACAGCTCCTGTGGGCATCACTGCCTGCCCTGCTCACTGCAGTGTGGGTCCTGCTGCCTGCAGGACACTGAGCTTTACGCTCCTGTGGTCCCTTCTCTTGCAGGGGTTTTGAGCAGCTGAGCACCACCCAGGAGAGGGCAAGATGTTGAGGGGAAAAATGACTAGCGTTGGGAAGAAGCTGATCCGCCGGCGTGTGGTGGATCTGAGCTCCGAGGACACGCGTTTCGCTCGCTGCCTCTCCACGCTGGACCTCATAGCTCTGGGGGTGGGCAGCACGCTGGGGGCCGGCGTGTACGTGCTGGCTGGGGAGGTGGCCAAAGAGATGGCTGGACCCTCCATTGTCCTCTGCTTCTTGGTGGCTGCTCTCTCATCGGTACTGGCCGGACTCTGCTATGCAGAGTTTGGGGCCCGCGTCCCCAAGACTGGCTCTGCCTACCTCTACAGCTATGTCACTGTTGGTGAGATCTGGGCTTTCACAACCGGCTGGAACCTCGTCCTCTCCTACATGATAGGTATGGGTCTGGGCAGGGTGCTGGCATGTGTGCCTGGGCTCCTTCCAGCACCACACTGGCAGCGTGTGGGGCTCACGAGGCAGTGTATGGTGCTGCGGGAGCAGGCTGTGGGGTGGGATCAGCAGTGGGGTGGGTGCTGGGGTGGGAGTGGGCAGTGCCGCTCTGCCCTGGGC